CTCCGACCCGCTTCTTCGACCGAAAGGCCTGGCCAAGGAGGGGATGACGCTCGCTTTCTACTCCGACATGCTTCTCCGACCGGAAGGCCTGGCCAAGGAGGGGACGACGCTCGCTTCCGACTCTGACCCGCTTCTCCGATCGGGAATACACCGAACCTCTGCTTATGGCTCTTCTCTGACTGGCGCGGTCAGAGCCAACTGGGAACGACCGGCCGGGGACGCCTGCTCGGTGAGGACCCAAGAAATCAGGCAGAGCAGATAAGGTAAGGCGCTCAAGTCAAACGCAATACCAAGGACCGTACCCTGCACACCAGCAGGACAGTACTGTTAGGCCATGCCAGAATTGTACTTTGCAGCCTTCCAGACATATCAGAACACAAACAGTGTTGTAGGCGCCGACATTTGTCCTACAGTATGGTAGGCGCCGATATTTGCCATATCAGAAGAACACGATGGAACCTGCCACATGCATTTGGACGTCAACAGTGTTATGGGCGTCGACAAACTATCTTATACCCGACTGCATGGGCAACAAGACTAGGGCACACACTCTCTCTCTCTCTTGAAACAAGACTAGGGCACACAATCTCTCTCTCTCTCTTGAACTTGTAAGGCCGTCCTCTTCATTTATAAAAGGGGATGCGCTCTATCCCAACAAAAAGGATCATTCCGGCTCTCTCTCTCTACTAGCTTTAGACATTCTGAGCACTCAAACAGCTCCACGGCTCTAGAACTCTAAAGCTACACAGAGCATACATTCTAATACTTAGCGCACGTAGGAGCTCCCGTCACTCTCAGTCCTTCAGTCCAGAGTCCGACCGGACCTCTAACACCCCCATCTTATTCCTGCTCGTTTGTAACCCCACAGCAAACTTCGAGCACCTGGGCTCAGGAATAAAGTTATCGACCGACTCAAACTGGACGTAGGGCACGTTGCCTGAACTAGTATAAACCATGTGCCATTAAGTGATAGGCTACATCCGATCACAGCATACGGCAAAACTATAAATATTTATTTATTGGTCACTTTTCGCACCGACACTTCCCTTTAGCTTCTTCACCAAGATTTCCACACCTTTCAACATCAGCTGCAGCAGGATAATGTAGATTAAGCAACGTGTGGCCGGTGAGGAAGTACATGGGTTTCATCATACTTTGATTCTGTGGATCGGTGGATCAAGGATGGCTCCTATATTTTGTCGTACCATACAACGTGCGCCCTCGGGTGTTGGCAAACGTCAACCTGCCTTGAATGGGAAAGGTGACCATGTTTACACTGTTATTTGTACATGCTGAGCCACTCCAGGCTGAGTCCTCTCAGGTATACTTCATGTCTAGTTCTTGCCTTTGCCGACCGTCATGTAACCTTTATAGTAGGATATTTCGTTCTTTTCTCACCGGTCACCAATCACCATAGGTTTGACGTAATCTGATACTTGTCATAAGTCAAACTTTTTCCATAATTCAGGATATCTAAAATACCATATAGAGTAACAACACACTAAGATTGGTGTTACTAGATTCATTATAAAATTACTTTTATGATAAATTTTATAGATGGTTATAGTAAAAGTTCCACATGCATGGTAGACTATGACGGTGTCCTAATGGACTTAGAGCAGCTTCAACAATTGACTTTTGAATTAGCTCTAAGTATTTTTTTCATATTTTAATAAAAGAAGAGAGAAAACATAGCTCTTGATCAAGAGCTAGGCTCTTACAAATTCCAAAATCAAAAGAGAGTGTTACGGGGCCTAATAATCATACTATGAGCCATTGTTAAAAAATAATATTATTAGAGATGTTGGCTTATTAGAGCCCGTAACTAGCTTTTACTGTTTCATATGCCCTTATATACACTAGAAATATCATATTATATAATTTGTTAAATTGCCAAGCAAGAGGACGCTGACCTGTGGCCTGATAGCTAGTGTGCTTTTGGTGTACAGGCAGTCTACCAGGGTTCGAGTACAACCACCAGTTTGTGCACAATCAAGACTCCAAATAGAGATATTTTTTCACTTTAAGACCGTATTGACCCCCTATGGACCAAAAAGAAGTTCACCCAAGAACTTCCACACGACCCTTTTCTTAGTAAGCTGTATGCTATCTGCTAGTAGTACTATGTCTTTTCAACAAACAAATTAGCTAGTAGGGCATCAGTTTCTTCGGCGCTGCGTGTTTTTAGAAAACAAACATGTGCCGAATATATAGAGCTAGTACTGTGTCCTTCCACTTCAAAATATTAGTATGCATGCTGCAGAATTTCCTTGAATTCATTTATCTTTTCTGCCGTGTACGTTGTACTTCTCATACCTTTTCCCACTCCGTTGAACTGGCGAGATGGAATATTTTCAGATTTCCACGTGAGATGTCGACATATTGGATCGGAGAGCCGCCAACACGCAACACACCAGACCATGCTAAAGGAAAAAAGAAATAAATATGCCACACCCGGTCTGCAAATCACATAGTAGGTGAAGACTAATGGGACCTTCTCGAAGACGAAGAAATAAGTCATTATTCAAGCGATCGAGACACACCTCGCCTCTTGTAGTAGAAAACAACAGGACCCATCTCTCTGCTAGGAAAAGGGCGCGCCATTAACCATGTGGACCAACCTTTGTTAGTGTGTAGCATCAGTGATCAGTAGTTGCAGAAGAGTCATTTCAAGGTCTCTGTACCGTGTACTGTGTAAATTGCTCGACATGTACGTTCTATTAATTACAACGGTTGGCGTGTAGATTCCTATGTGTATATGTGGAAGAATGGTGTTTGTCATAATGTTAGGTAATTAGGTATATTTTAGATGGGCGATAATTTAATTTGTTCAGGAGTTTTCTTTTGAAAAGCTAGGATATGTTCAGCAATCCATAGTGCCTTCAGTTCGAACATATAGTAGGTGTTCTTTTCCTGAAATCCGAGTGACCGTAACAAGCAGTGAAGCCCACTATCACTGCTGGGTTGAGTCACGATCCGGCAATAAAATACCACTGCAGGTTTAAACCATTAACCAGTGTTGGGGAGACCCATAAATGTGAGCCGATATTTATGTTGAGGAGGGCATGAGTCTAAGTTATTAGGATGCACAATTACATCTTATATAGTATGCCGCAGCGAATTATAACAGACAACATAATCTATAGTTCTATGGACCACCATAGCAACACTTGTACCATGAGCAAGGGCCTCCAAAAGCAACAACTCCAAGAAGGAAATGTCACTCACAGGCATTTCCATTACCATTATCTAACTAGTCAAGGCCATATCATACAATTTCATCCTACGAACCGACTTCTTCAAACTCCAGACAATTCCATCAATATAGATGTCACAACAATACCCACCATTGCCATGTACAACCACATAAGCAAGAACATAAGGATCTCTCCTTGAGTGAAGGACTAGTGCTGAACAAGCACAACTAAAAGTCCCCTAGTGTTGTTTCAACCCCTCCTTTCTGATCCAAAGTCACAATACTGCAGCCGACAATGAAAACTCGACATCCAGGCTTTGTTTAGACATGCCACCCCGCGATGATAATATTGAGAAATAGCCAAATGCAAGAGGCACATGACCAAAACCACATGTTTCATCTAAAGACGTATAGGATGAATCACCTGATCTAAAGACGTATAGGATGAACCATAGTGGCCACCCATAGGACAATCTTTGGCCACCACTATGGTTGTTGATCATGTGGCAATAGTGTGGAGGTGAACCCATGCACTACCAACATAGGGGACCGGGACCTCACTGTTGCACCTTAAATCTCCAATGCAATCTCGGGTGTGTCACTGGAGAGCTCGGTGCTCTCTTCTTCACTACCACACTTGTGCATCGCATCTGTATCGTAACTCCTGTGCACATACTGGAAGTATGCGGTGCACTGCTTCCAATTGTGCCTCGAACTAGACCTCATTAGAATTCTCCGGTGCTTTCTCCAATGCATTTTTGGAGTTGTTCCTTCGTGCCCATTTGTCAGGGCTTCACGTGTACGATGTCTTGTGCTTCTTACTTGTTTTCTAGGGTTTTCAATGCTCCTCTTTGATCTTCCTTTAAGGTATTGATTGCTTGATCTTAGGCTAGCTTAAGTCTATTTTTGCATCCTAGAACTAATACACCTTGTCTACTCGGAAATATTGTTAGTCCTAATGGCTATGTTGTCAATTAACCACCTAATTAGTTGACTTAAACATGGCAGAACTATAATTTAACATAGAACATAGCTTCCCATCGTTAACACTGTATGTATTTGAGAAAGGCGTTGTAGCCTTGTGGTTACAAGAGCCTCAGTAGCACCTTAGGTCCTGAGTTCGACTCATCGTGGGAGCCAATATTCTCGGATTTACTAGTTCAGTCTTCGAAGATGCTCATAGAAGTAGCATTTGCGTACGTGTATTCATAGGGGTGGGTGTGCATACGTTGTGTTTGAGTTATACTGTGTAATTGCTAAAAAAACAATGTACGTATTTGTATTTCCATTCACATTAGGTTTCTCATTGACTTATCTTTTACCTGTCCATCGAGCATGCGAACCACAGAGCAAGTTAAAGACAAACACTTACGTGTAGACTTCGCAACGGCGTGATATTTTATTTTGACCGGTTGTGAAAAAAAAGAAACGCCAAAACCGGAAGTCGTCGTCGTGTCGTCCTCCGGCGCCACTTGGTTCCCCAACTGAAATTGACTTCCTTGACCTCAATGGCTTTCCTAATGAACCTCCCGTCTCACGTGGATGCTCATGCACAGTTACCGATCTGCCCCTCCCTCCTTTCGCCGACGTCATGCATCACGGCGCCTGACGCTGCTGGCCCACCGGCTTCATGCGGCCCTTCCAGCCTTCCCATTGGTCCACACCCACCTTCCTTTTATTCTAATTTATCTATCTATTTATTTATTCCTGTGCAGCCGTCCGTCAGCTTTGGCTTCTTTTGTGTGTACCCTTGACCCTAATTGACACAAGTAACCATAAAGCCCAAACCTTCTCCGTCCTTTCCATGGAGACGAGGCCTGAGCGCCACCGCCACGACCACGTCCACGAGCAGGAAGCCCAGGAGGGCCGGGAGGAGGACGAAGCAGTCATGGAACACGGCGCCGCTCTCTCGCTGCAACGCGGAGCCACCTTGTTTGGCCGGCGGCACGACGAGGAGGCCGGCCGCCGCCGGGGCGAGATCCGGGAGGTGGACTTCTTCTCGAGGGACTCCGGAGCCCGGGGCCAGGACGACGGCGGCGGGCGCGGGATGCCCGGCGGCGGACGTGACGACATCAACGTGAGTCTCCCGGCCGATCTCGATCATCAGCTGCTGACGCGGCTTTTGCGGATTGCCTGAAATTAAGCGGTTGTATGATTCCCCTTAATTTTGCCCACCGTTTGAATTTATCGGGTGTAGTGCTTGCTGTGCAGATCGGCCTAGACCTGATGACCACTACCGCCGCTGCCACGACAAGCGCCGGCGAGGAAATGATGGCGGTCAAGAACCAGAAGGTTGGTTCACTTTCGTTCATATCTCTGCTCCTCTGAAGATCTTGTCCCGTCTTTCGCCATTTCTTGATTGGATCTTGCATTCCTATGTGTAGATAGAGGCGTCAGCTGTGGAAGTTGAGCTCAGACGGGTGGTGGAGGAGAACCGGCGGCTGCGTAGCATGCTTGAGGAGCTCACCCGGAGCTATGGCGCGCTGTACCAGCAGCTTCTCCAGGTCACGCAGCACCGACAGCATCCTGCTGATCTCATGATCAACAGATCATCACTGGCTCATGTAAGTGAAGTGCTATTTCATCGGATTATATGGTAGTAGTACTTGCATCTGTATCACGATCTCCCGTGTATATCTTCTGGAGTACGCTAGCTGTCAAAATCATTTTTTCAACCTTATTTCCATTATTTGTTGCCTGGATCATTGATTTCGACGTTGAACGAGTTTCATATTCTTAATTCAAATTTTCAATCTTATTTCATTTTATTGCCTGGATCGGATTGTTTGTTTCAACGTGGAAAATAGTTTCATATTCCAACAGTACAGCCGATTACTTTCCGTCCAATTCTTGTGCTTTAATCAGGCTCATACTCTTCTACAAATCAGGCAAGCTAGACTTGTTAAGTTTTCTATAGATATGGATACCATCATTTGAACAATTATTTCGTGTGGCCTATTTAATCTATTTGACTTTGAGAATCAAATCTAAGATCAAGGAAATTTGCTTGTCATCTTAGTGTAAGAGCCTTGTCTGAACTTGTGTAATTATTACTACCACGACCTTAGCTGCTGATCCATTTGAGTCCGCATCAATTGCGCAATTTTTAAATTCGCTTCTTGTCCACTAGTATATTAGACCTTGCTACAGAAATATATTTGCTACCGATCGAGAGATTCTTCAAGATGAAGATTCGTGCAATAATGTACAAGCCATAGCTAAATTTGCGTGCATACACGCACATCCATGTAAGATCCTCGTCAAATCAAGCCACATGAGCTTATGAATGCCTCACATTTCACTTAATTTGATTCTTTCATCATATAAAAAAGTATCCTAGTAGATAATCAGCCTGTTCGCTTGTTGGTTTCAGTTAGGGCTTATCAGTCATGATACAGTGTTTTTCTCTCATAACAAACCAGTATCAGCCGGGCTTATCAGCCTAGAAACTAACCAGCGAACGGGCTAAATATAATCAAGTACTGATATGATAAAAACATAGGAGCATGGAGAACAGCCGATGGTACTCACTCTCGATCTGTACAGTTAATAATTTTTTTCCGAAACTTTCGGAGTGATAGTTATCAGACCAATTTCATCCAAACTGAGCACTGAATTAGCTAGCATAGTCACCTCAAAACGATTTGATATCCAGTGTCGTCATTATTGATGAATCACACGATTTTTATATGCACACAGCATCTAATTTGTATATTGTGTTTGGCTATGGATTTTTTTTGCATACAGTGACACTAATTGTGAATACATAGCTACTGGTACATCTTGATGATCTCTCATGTCTGTGTACTAGTGGTAGTTAGCATGTGATCGTCGATCTCATGCAAGACGCTTTCAGTTGCTTCCTCGCTTTAATTTCCTCTTTGACTTAACAAACGACACGTACGTGTCCATCACCACCAAATCTGGATGCAGACCCACCTAACCACCGCGGCATCGCACAACACGTCGTCCACTCGGCAGCTGTTGGAGGCGCGCGCGTCCTCCACCACTACGGCGCAGCCGCATGCCGTCGCTGGAGTAGAGGACGAGGCTAGCGACGGAGCCGGGGAGGCGTCGCCTTCGCTGAGCAATGGAGGAAACAACAACGACGCCGATGGCAAGAGGAAGGCCTCTCCGGATGCGATGGCACCACCACCGAGAGAGAATGGCGAGCAGGTTTCGTCGGAGCTGCCCGGCCGGAAGGCAAGGGTGTCCGTGCGCGCGCGATCTGAGGCACCAATGGTAACTATTTGATTCCTGCTATGTTTTTTAGGGGTTAGTATGTTGATCTGCTTAATTGATTATCGGCCAGAGAAAGAAGTGTCTAGAAACATTTAGAACACAGTATGGGTACAGTACGTACGTGCTGTAACAACCACGTACCTAATTTGTATTTGTATAGAGGGAAGCCGCGCAAAAGTTTTAGCGCTGTTTCTCATTCATTTCTCATATGAACATTGTAATCGTTTTCTTTTTTAGAAATAGGTTTCAGACTGACCATTTGCGCATCTGCTGATATTTTGGATAATTAGTAACAAGATATACCATTTGCGCACCCACCTCTCCGCATAGTTATTTGATTCAATATACAGAAACTTTAATTTTTCATGATTTAATTAATTTGCTACTGATACGTGCTCCAATATATATGACATTATTATTTTTTTGGTATGCTTGCATTTTGTCTAACTATAGATTAGTGACGGGTGTCAATGGAGGAAGTACGGGCAGAAGATGGCCAAAGGTAACCCATGCCCGAGAGCATACTACCGGTGTACAATGGCTGTGGCATGCCCCGTGAGGAAGCAGGTAATATACATGCCCAACCTATCCATGTAGTCATATCTTGTGATAATATTACATGCATTACATCATTTCCTTATCGACTTCACTTCCAGGAGGTTTGTTTTGTTGAATTACTTACCAATTGCATATAATCTCGTATTCTGCTAAAAGCATCATATATATGTAGTACTATATAATACTGTCATCTTTCTAATTTGAGTCTCTGGGTGTTTATGTATACATAATAGCGACAGTTTGGTATTCCTTTGGGAGGTTATCACATTATTGTTGCTTATTTTTTAAAAAGAACTAATTAAAATGGCATGCATGTCATTAACTTTAACCATTTTAGCTCAAAGAATTGTGAAGCAGGTCCAACGTAATATGATAACTAGCTCTTGTATGGTACACAATCACAGCATGATTCTGGATGAACCAAAATCCATGCTAAAATGGAGTGCCTTGGAAGAAAATATAATATACTGCATGTGCAAATAAGCATTGAAATATAAATTAAATAACCAGTAAAAAACATTGGTTAGAGCATCTCTAGCGGTCCCCTTTCCTAACCTCCATTGAGAAAAAACGGTTATTTTGGAGATCTTTAGCTTCAGTAGTTTCCCAAACCCAACCCCAATAAGAAAAAAAAAATTGGTCCCTCAAATCATAGCCTCCCACCCCACAAATAAAGGGGAGACATCTCTTCCCCCAATCCACTATTTTTCTCATTGGAGATTGATTTTCTCGTTTAGCTGGAGGGAAGACCTTTAAAATCCCAAAACATATTTTGTATCTTCCCCAGTAACTAGTTTTTGGCTTGGAGTTTTCTCCTACTGCTGAAGATGCTCTAAAATGTACTAAACAGTGTACTTCAGACATGCATTATGATCCTTATTAGCAGGCCACCAGTTTTTTTTCTCTTTTTGTTTGGTCACACCCTACATGGAGTGTGCAGTGATTAAGATCGATGTATAAACTAGCAAGTACTCCCTCCGTCTAGAAAAATATGCAATTCTAGCAAAGTGTCATGGTTTAGTATCTCAAGTTTAATTAATTATGGATAAAAATATCAATACTTATGATATCAAATAAATATTATTAGATTAATTACGAAATGTATTTTCTTAATAAATTAATTTGGAGTCATAAAGGTGAATAATATTTATGTATTTTCTTAATAAATTAATTTGAGTCATAAAGGTGAATAGTATTTACTAGAAATTTGGTCAAACGTAAACTACTTTTATCGACACGTAACCCGTAGTTGTATGTTTTGTTGGACAGATGGAGTACAAATGTAGCTTGCGTTTATTTGTAGTGTATGTCCATACTACTGCTAATAACATCTCTCAAAAACCAATATAATATAAAGAACTATTTATGTAGTCCTCTACTTGTGCATATGCATATAAGTACCTATAATTTCTGACACGTTTATTTCTTCTTTATAACTCGATATGTGAATTGACTGAACAAGATCATGCATGTGTTGACTTACAGGTATAGCTTCTCTAAGCTTTACTCAATTAGGTGACATGAACATGAAGCACTCCATGCTAATGTGAACATACATATATACCCCTACGGAATTTAAGCTGCACACGTGCATACTTCCAATCCCAAAGCATATAGTATTATATTACCGTTTACCTTCTTCCATCTATCTAGCTGTATATCAAGGCAGGCCATACACACACGTCTACAACTGTATAATATATGGTCCATTGGGCGACCATCTCTATAGCTATAGTTGCAAGCCAACACATTATTTTCAGCGCAGAGACGCTGATAGCTCACCGAACACTCGCTGCGATATTCTGAAGCCAAAGACACATACTTCACATGCCTGCATGTATGCTTACGTGACGGCATGCAAATGCATTAAAGCTAGCTCTAGCGCAGCTGGTGGTAAACTGTTATCATGCATGTGTCATGACACTGTACTTGGATGCATGCAGGTGCAACGGTGCGCCGAGGACAAGACAATCCTGGTCACGACTTACGAGGGCCACCACAACCACCCGCTGCCGCCGGCGGCCACCACCATGGCGAACACCACGTCCGCCGCGGCAGCCATGCTGCTCTCCGGCCCGGTCACCAGCCACGACGGCGCGGCCGCGCTCCACGGCCACCCGGCGGCGGCGCTGTTCCACCACTCCAGCAGCATCCCCTACGCGTCCACCATGGCCACGCTCTCCGCCTCCGCGCCGTTCCCCACCATCACCCTCGACCTCACCCAGGCGCCTGGAGGCCTTGCCGGGAGCGGCGGCCTGCTGCCTCACGGGCTCGGGCTCCATCGCCCGCCCGGAGGAATCCACCCCGTGGTGGCCCCGGCGATGCCGTTCCCGGCACCATCGCCGCTGGCTTCGATGTTCCTCCCGCAGCGAGCGCCCACGGGGCTGCCGACGCCGACTGGGCTGGTCGCGCGGCAGCAGCAGTCGGTGATGGAGACGGTGACCGCAGCCATCGCGGCCGACCCCAACTTTACCACGGCGCTTGCGGCGGCCATCTCATCGGTCATGGCAGGAGCAGGAGCAGCGCATCAGGCTCAGCCTACTCCACGTGGGAGTAATACCGGCAACGCCGGAGATCAGGCCAACGGCAGTGCGGGTGCGGCCACAGCAGGTCCGACGGCAGCCGGAGCACATGCAGCGTCTGCCGAGTCGCCTCGGTTCGCGACGCAGTCCTGCACCACGTCGACAACTTGAGGGAATTGATGAGTGCTGAGTTTGACTGTCAGAGCTCATCTATCTGCACTGCACTACGACTATTTGTAAAATTGAGTGTATTTTTATTCACATAAATGAGATATACTTGTACTATGTACAGATAAAAATTTGAAATATATACACAGTAATTTCAGCTGAACTTGGCGCGTCCAAATTTGAAGGAAAGAAGGTTTTTTTTAATTACACAGTACAACACAGAAGCCCACAACACGCATGCACACTTACCTTTATGAACACACGTATGCAAACCTTACCCCTATGAGCATATCCGAAAGACTGAGCCGGCAGATCTTGAGATTCACGAAGTCACTACGTTGTCGATAGGGATGTCGCCTAACACTGAAAGTAAAGCGCCGTTAAATTCTAAAATAAATCCAGAAAAATACGAGCACTCATGCCAAGTCGAGTACTATAACTGAGGTGGGCAGGTTCTATCATAGGAAGCCCAACCAACGATCTATGATCAGTTCACTGCAATTCGAAGGAAAGAATTGATGTGCAAAGACTAATAAAAAAAGGAATGGTCAAATTCCTTGGAGCAAACTATGGACTGGACCGCCCAACTAACCGTCCGAAGTTAACGGTCCATGAAGGGCGATGACCGAGAGGCTTCGACCTTCGTGGAACCGGAACATGATTGGGCCAGGTCGACGCCGGCGCGCCAGATTAGTTGACTGTGAGCGTCGGCAAAAACGCTTAGCTCCGGCATGAGCATGACGGCACGGTGGTGTTTACCGTGTTTCCCCGCGGGTAATATTGACGCCGCCCGCCGTTCACGTTGCTGTCCCCATTTCTCAAGTAAAACGATTGTGTTCTTCCTGAGACACTAGACAAGTCTACGGCCTTGCTATTCTTGGCCCAACTTGCCTTCATCGTCCCCATGCAACAGTGGTGGAGTTTGACTAAATTTTCAGCAAGGGTCGTCAATTGTGTATGAATTACATAAGAAATAATGGCAAGTCTTTGGTCTAGTTTAGCCTAATAATATCTGATCATTTATCTATAAGTTAGCAAACTGAGGGGAGCCATGGCCCAGGATGGTCCCTAACTAAGCTCCATCAGTTCCATGCACGCCATGGTTGGATGGATAGGATGTCCTACTTTGCACATATCACCAAGGTTATCCAATGCTGATGTATATGGGACACATATTGTTCTTAGGGGCTAGTTTAACTTGCCTTCAACATGTTGTTATTATTCTTCGAAGTCATAACTCTCATCATCATCACAGCTAGTTCACTTTCACATGCCACCTAGACCTTTAGTTGCCTCGAAACACGAAATCATTTGGGTATTCATAGGTCGGGTAACTCGGTGGAGCCCATAGTCCTCCACGCACAAGTGGATCCCCGTGTAGTCTTTTCCTGAACCGCTCTCCGCCATCTTCAATATGGAGCTTCTGGCTCAAACGTTGTGGGCCTCATTCCCTCCGGTACAAGTTAAGCGGCCACGCCACAAATGTGGTGGGTGTGATCTCGCAAGATTACAAGCACCTAGTGTCAACAATGGTGGGCACAAGAGGTATGCAAACCTCATTAAACATTAAATCTAAGCCTAGAGTAAAACGTCAATTGCAAGGTTTAACTAGCCTAAGCATTTCACAAAACACTACACTAATCACCTAATAAATCCTTAAGCACTTTTGGTGGCTAGAGCACTTGGATAGAGCCTCAACTCTCCTATATTTTCATCACACTCCAACACACTTGAAATGTCTAGCCAGGGGATGTGTATAGCTTCTACCCCTCAAAATAGTCATTGGCGGCAAACTATACACATTCATTGATCACCGGAAAGCTCTAGTGAACCCCGCCTGGGAATTTCGGTGACCACCACATCAGCTAGCCGTTGCCGGCCGTTGGGGCTTATTTCTACGATGCACCATTTGGTGCCCCTCTAAAGCTCCTGCAGAGTCTCTGGACACCACCCTTTTCTCCGGTGACACCTTCTTTATACCACTGGAGTTTTTTTGGGCATGCTCAAGCTCTCTGCAGAAACAGTTGCCCACTGTTGGCCTTGGAACCTATGCTTAGGTGCTGACTAATCAACACCACCGAAGAAATTCGATGAGTGCTAAGATGATCGGATCAGTTGGGATTCCTCTGAACCCTATTCTCCGATGCCTCTGCCAGGGTACCACTGGAGAATTCCATCGACTCTAGGTAGAGCCGATTTAGCTCTGTTTCTTCATGTCTTCTCGTCCGATCTTTTCCTAACTGATGTCTTGGACTTCTTGCAAGTCTTCAATAGCAGCACTAATATCTTACTTGAGGTGTTGATCATTCGATTTTCACGTTGCCTTTGTCCAAGCCATCCTTGTATCCAAACGAACTAAATACCTTGTATAATAGCAAACCATATTACACTAGTATACAAATGATTTTGCGAGACGATGCCCTTTTATTAACCGAGGCATTTACAAATCCCAACTGCCTCGGTTAATACATGAGATTAACGGAGGCGGTCATTTTCATTAACGGAGGCGGTCACAATTAACCGTCTCACAAAATCGATTTACAAAGGCGGTTAAAAAATAACCGCCTCCAAAAATGCCTCCATTTTCAGAGGCGGGCCACTTATAAGGCCTCCCTTAATGTACCCAAGCCCACTCATAGTCCATCTCGGCCCATCTTGGTCCAACAGCAACGTCATAGTATATGTATGAGATGAAACCACAACCCATCTCCAATCCCTCACTCACCTCTCTCACACAGTGCCTCTCCTCCCTCCCCCGAGCCCAAGCCCACAGCGCCGACGCCTCTCCCTCCCTCTCCCATGCCTCCCTCTCCCTCTCCCTCTCCCTCACCCAAGCCCAAGCCCACAACGGATCTGGAGGTCGGAAGGAAGAGCTCGAGGGCGCGGCATCCTGACCTGGCCCCTCCTCCTTCGTGACGGTGCCCCTCCTCCCCCACGCCCTCCTCCTCCGCAATGGCGCCCCTCCTCCCCCACGCACCCGATCTGGTGGTGGAGCGGCTGGATCTAGCAGTTCGTGCTCCCTGGCGGCGGATCCGGTGGTGGAGCGACCAGATCTGGCTGCTCGTGCTCCCCCAGCAGTGGATATGGTTCTAGAGGCACGGATCTAGTGGTGGTGCTACCGGATCCGGTAGCAGAGGCACGGTGCAGGGCTTGGCCCTTCTCCGGAGGTGGCGGGTGCTCAAATCCAGCGAGCGGCAGTGGTGGCACGCACATCCAGCGAGTGGCGGCGGCGGCCCGTGGATGGGCTCGCTGGGCTTGTCCACGGGTTTTCTTTTTTTTTTGTTTTTTTGTTTGATTTACCAAGACGGGCATTTGAACTGCCTCGGGAAAGATTTATTTATCATGATCTTTCGACCAAGGTGGTTGTGATACCGCCTCGGTTAATCCATTATGTCCGCCTCGGTTAAGTTTACAGTAGTATTGTTAGTCCATTTGATCATGCTATCAATCAACCACCAAGCACATATGGCCCTAGTTAGGTGCCATTTTCCTTACAGGTGCTAGACTGCCATCTCTAGAGGGTCTGACTAGATGATATACAACCACACTATTACAGAATCGATTTTTAGGGGCGGCTCGTAACCATTTGTAGGGGTGGTTTGGCCAGCCGTCCCTACCGAACCGTCTCTACAAATCATGCATTTGTAGGGGCGGTTCCCAGGCCGCCCCTACAAATCGATTTGTAGGGACGGCTCGTATTACCAGCTGCCCCTACAAATCGATTTGTAGGGGCGGCTGTAGTACCAGCCGCCCCTACAAACAGGTTTTTGTAGGGGCGGTTCAATCTAGAACTGCCCCTACAGTACGTTTTCCCGTAAAAAAAATTCAAATTTACAATTCAAAATCGCGTTGCCGAACGTCCCGCGACCAATGTTCCGACCGCGTTCGCGTTGCCGAACGCCCCGCAACCAACGTTCCGAACCACGTTCGCGTTGCCGAACGCCTCGCGACCAACGTTCCGAACCGCATTCGCGTTGCCGAACGCCCCGCGACTGCGACTACAAGCACAAGAGTATTCTGTAAACTACAATTACAAGTCCAATTCACAAGAATATATACAATCCATTATTAAATATACAAATTCCATACATATTCTTATCAACGTCCTAGAGCTAGCCTTTCAGTCTTACGAAGGTGTTGGTACTGAGGATTTGTACCTAACTCAGACTCTCGATCATGGTAGGCGCCTCTGACGTGTACAATCTGGTCCAATATGAAGTTACAAAGGTCGCCGACGAGCTCTAAGAGTTGGTCATCCTTGTATGGGTCTCTTTTCATTCCTTTCTCTTCTCTCCACTACAAGAGAATAAGTTTCAGTTTAGTATTTCATACTATGTACGAAGTTTTTATACTACGGGTGAAGAGGTTCAAACTTACCCTTAAGGGGTGTCTCCTGTTGGCACCGGTGTTACTCATCATAGAACATATATAGTATCCATAATGTACACTCCCAGGCCTCTGCTTAGGGCACTGTGTATTTTGCATATGGAAATGTTAAGTAATGCTTTTGACAGCCATGTAACGGAGTACTGAAGAAGTAAGTTACACTTACAAAAAAAAAGTGTGGAATAGCATTTTCTTACCTTCTACAACCTCTCCACCAAAGGATTTGAGATCAAAACCTTTCCCCCTTAGTAGAGCAATTTTTGGGAGGTGCCCAAGGCCTCCTCACCTTTCTTTCACGGGTTGGAGTGAGTGACCCGAGGAGGAAGAAGGTGCTGCAACTATTTTATATGTGAGTCATTTGTAGGGGCGGCTGGTGATTGAGCCGTCCGTACAAATCGGAGCTATTTATACAGGGGCTATTTGTAGGGGCGGCTGGTGATTGAGCCGCCTCTACAAATCGAAGCTATTTATATGGGGGTCATTTGTAGGGGCGGCTCAATCACCAGCCGCCCCTACACATAGAATCGCCGAGGGCGGCTGGTGAGTGAGCCGCCCCTATAAATCAGACCCATTTGTAGGGGCGGCTCGTTTCCCCAGCAGCCCCTGCTGTTCTATTT